GGGACCCCCACCCTGATCCGGACACCCTTCAGGGCAAACCAGCCAGCCCCCACCCGTGCACCAGGCCTCTATCCTATATAATAAAAGGGTAATATGCAAACTGACCCTAACAGAACGACTGGGAATGACTGGTCACTATGACACACATTGACCACCAGGGGGAAGATGCTCAGTGCAGGAGCTGCCCCCTGGTGGTCAGTGCGCTCCCACAGGGGGAGCTCTGCTCAGCCACAAGCCAGGCTGATGGCTGCCAGCACAGCGGTGGTGGCGGGAGCCTCTCCCGCCTCCTCAGCAGCACTAAGGATGTCTGACTGAAGCTTAGGTCTGCTCCCTGCTGGTAAGTGGACATCCCCTGAGGGCTGCCAGAGGGATGTCTGACTGCCAGCTTGGGCCCGATCCCCCAGGGAGCGGGCCTAAGCCAGCAGGTGGACATCCTCCGAGGGGTCCCAGACTGCAAGAGGGCACAGGCCAGGCTGAGGGACCCCCCCAAGTGCACAAATTTTTGTGCAACGGGCCTCTAGTATATACATAATAGGCTAAGCTGAAACACGCATGTGCGATACATATAAAGCTCTTGCTGGCGCCAATCGCACACGTGTTTTGATCTGTCATTGTCTATCATGAATTTGGTTGACACTTCTATTATCGAGAAAGGGTGAATAGCGATATTAAAATATTTCTTCTAATTAATTTCCTTTCAATGTGCAAGAATTCATGCACTGGGACACTAGTATAATAAAATTAATATACCTAAGTATGGGCAAAAGGATGTCACTCCTCCCGCCAAGAACAACGTTGAACTAGAACATGGAAAAAATAACAAACTCACATGGCACAGTGTATGAGTAACCCAAAGCCTGGAAATGCAATTTCATTAACAGAATTAAATATTTTTATTCATAAACAGCTTTTAGTACCTACAAATTTTGCACTAATGTACATAGTGGGCAGCACGGATGTTCCCATAAAGTAGTACTTCTCAGCTTCCTAATGACAGACTGCGGACACCTGCCTGCCTTGTGCAGGGGCTGGTCCTGGAACGATGGCCCTGTTGACCTCACCAGTGCTCTGGGCATTCTCCCCAACCTGCAGAATGGACAAGGCCATGAGGCCCTGGCCCGGTGGCTCGGTTGGAGTGTTGTCTTTTTTTTTTTTTTTTTTTTTCAGAGAGGAAGGAAGAGGGAGAGAGAAACATCAATGATGAGAGGGAATCATGGACCAGCTGCCTCCTGCACACCCCCTATTGGGGACCGAGCCACAATCCAGGTATGTGCCCTTGACCGGAATCGAACCTGGGACCTTTCAGTCCACAGGCTGACCTCTATCCACTGAGCCAAACCTGCTAGGGCTGGAATGTTGTCTTGTACACTGAGGTTGAGAGTTCGATTCCTGGTCAGGGCACATACCCAAGTTGCAGGCTCAATCCCCAGTCAGGAGCATATGGGGGCAGTCGATCAATATTTCTCACATTGATGTCTGTCTCTCCCTCTCCCTTTCTCTGTCTGGAATCCAAAAATATATCCTCTGGGGGCGGGAGACAATGGGGCAATAAGAACACATATGTAATGCCTTAATCAATAAGAAAAAAAAACACATCCTCAAGTGAGAATTAAAAAAGGATGACTGCCCTGGCTGGTGTGGCTCCGTGGTTAGAGTGCCAGCCTGTAAACTGAAGGGCCACCGGTTCGGTTTCCAGTCCCTGGGCTGCAGGTTCAATTCCCAGCCTGGTCAGGTGTGTGCGGGAGGGAACCATTGATGTGCCTCTCACAGCAATGTCTCTCTCCTGCTCCCTTCCACACTAAAAAAATCAATGGGGAAAAATGATCCTTAGGTGAGCATTAACAACAAAAGATGACCAAAGCTAAGTCCTAGATCGAAGCGAGAGCCAGGATAGGACTGTTTTAGGAACACACAAGGCATTTTAGGGAAGTCTTGTCAGTGCTACCATGGAAACAGGAAAGCCCTGTGGCCATACAGAACTCAAAGGGGGCCTGAGAACGGAAGAGTGGCCCTGTGGCCAGTGCTGGAGACGCTCACCTGGCAGTTCTAGGGCAGTGGTTCTCTGTCCCAGCGACAGCACCTGGAGTCAGCTGTGCAACTGGGAACGGGGATGTCCCGGAGCATATCTCCGGGAGGAGAGGGCGTCCCCTTGACATGGAGTGATTAGGAGAGACCTCAGAGGAAGTAACATGAAAGCCAAGGCCGGAAGGAGGTGAAGGAGTGAACCAGATGAGTAGGAAGAAGAGCCTTCAGGGGAGGCACCAGAATGTGTAGACACCTAGAACCTGTATAATGTTACTAACCAGTGTCACCCCAATACATTCATAAAGAAGCAAAAAATAAAAACAAGCTGGAGCCCTGGCTAGTGTGGCTCAGTTGGTTGGGTGTCAGCCTGTGCACCAAAAGGTTGCCAGTTCAATTCCCGGTCAGGGCACATGCCCAGGTTGCAGCTCAAAACCCAAGAATATCAATAAAAATTTGATCAGTGGATAGAGCATCAGCCTGTGGGCTGAAGCATCCCGGGTTCAATTCCAATCAAGGGCACGTACCTCAGCTGCAGGCTCCTCCCCATCCAGGGCCCTGGTCAGAGTGCATGCAGGAGGCAACCAACCCATGTGTTTCTCTCACATCGACATTTCTCTTTCACTCTCTCCTAAATATCAGTGGAAACTCCTCGGGTAAGGATTAAAAAAAAAAAGGGAGTTTATGCCAGAACCGGTTTGGCTCAGTGGATAGAGCGTCGGCCTGCGGACTCAAGGGTCCCGGGTTCGATTCCGGTCAAGGGCACGTACCTTGGTTGCGGGCACATCCCCAGTGGGGGTTGTGCAGGAGGCAGCTGATCGATGTTTCTCTCTCATTGATGTTTCCGGCTCTCTATCCCTCTCCCTTCCTCTCTGTAAAAAATCAATAAAATACATTTTTTTTTTAAAAAAAAAAAAGGGAGTTTGCCAAGCAGCAGCAAATACGTTGAGTTAGTACTTAATTGTACTGGGCTGAGGTGGTAGGATTTTGTAATTTTTTTAAGAGAGAAAAGGATAAACATTTTGTTGTTCCACTTATTTATGCATTCATTGGTTGCTTCTTGTAGGTGCCCCCAGAAATAGAACCCTCAACCCTGATGTATGAGGACAACACCCTGAGCTACCCAGCCAGGGTGGATTTCCCAGGAACAGAAATGGGAGAAATGTAATGCTGACAACTCAGAATTGGAGATGGAAGGGTTGAGAGACATCAGAAGTTGAATAGGATTTGGGGGTTGGGGGTGGAAGCAGAAAGGAAAAGAACCTAAAGGGGAGAGAAGTGCCTGCAGGGTTTCATGGGTCCATGGGTTTGGTGAAATGGATGAGACCTTCGGCCTCTCTCTCCCCGCCCGCATTGTTTTTTTGTTAATCCTCACCGGAGGATATTTTTTCAATTGATTTTTAGAGAGTGTGAAAGGGAATCGGGGGTGGAGAGACAAACACGGATGTGAAAGAGACACATCCACTGGTTACTTCCCACACTCACCCAGACCAGGCCCGGGAATCGAACCTGTAACCCAAGTACGTGCCCTTAGCTGGAAGTCGAACCCACAACCCTGCGGTTGTGCTGCTAACACTGGCCCCGACAGGAAAAGTTTCTGTGGAGAATCTGAAAGGAAAATGACTGACTCCTCTTTAAATGACAATGGGCACGTGAAGCTCGCTCTGAAGGCTCTTTGGTCGATTGTGGGGCGGGAGGAGGTGAGAAGCAGGCACTGGACGCACCAGAAGGAAAGAAACTCAAGTTAAGTAGCCCCCTGGATTGACATGCTCTTTGCTTTTTCACTCGAGCTGTGTACCTCGTTGGTATTTCACCTTTAGATTACGTCCTCCTCCCAGGCCCTCTCCCAAGTGCACAGAGCAACAGTAGGCTGGCTGCCTGAGCATCACGCTTGAGCCTGGACAAAAGGAGGGAAAAAAGGCACCGCTGGCCTCGCTAGATGTACACGAGGCCTGTGACTATGGCCAATCTTGAAAATAACAGCCAAGAAGCTTCATTTTCCAGATCAGCAACACTAGGGAGCTTGTCAGAAACATTTTGGGATCCATCCCAGATCTACTGAATCAGAAAATTTGCTGCTCACCCCCCCAACCTTACTTATTTTTAATGTTTTAAAATTTTTATTTTAGAGAGAGAGGGAGAGAAACATCGATTGGCTGCCCCCATGCATCCTGACTGGGGATTGAACCCACAACCTGGGTATATGCTCTGACTGGGAATCCATGGGATGGCACTCAAATAAGCCAACCAGCGAGGGCTCCAATCTGTCTTGTAACAGGCCCTTCGGACATTCTGGTGAACACTAAAAGGTTGAAAACCACTCTCCTCTCTCCCCAAAATGTAATCTTCTCCTAATTTCTAGTTCTAAGAATAGCAGATTTAGCCCGGCCAGTGTGGCTAAGTGGGTTGAACGTCGACCTGTGAACCAGGAGTTCATAGGTCACGGTTCACTTCCCGGTTGGTCAGGGCACATGCCTGGGCTGTGGGCTCGATCCCTAGTAGGGGGGCAGGATGTGGGAGGCAGCCAATCAAGGTCTCTGTCATTGATGCTTCGCTCTCTCTCTCTGAAATCAATAAAAATATATTTTAAAAAAATAGCAGACTTAAGTAACTTCTTATTCAAAGTTAATTCTATCCCTCCATGTTCTGGTCTCCAAAACCTCCTGTCTCCCAGGAATCTTATCCCATCACCTAGGCCCTCGATTTCACACCTCCCTCAATGAGGAGGCTGGGTCCTAGACCTCCCTGTCCCCTCCAGCAGGCCATTTCCTCCAGCTCCGCAGTCACTCTTTGCGAAGAGCAGTCTACACTTTCCTCTCCCCTGGACTGTTCTCAAAACACTGCTCATGGATTTCTCCTGTAGCCACTCCTGCTCCTTCCTCCCGTCCTCTCAACTCCTTCCCAGAGCACTCCACAGCTGGCAGGCCCAGCCATAGGCTGTCCCGGGCCGCACTGCCTTCTCCAAGAATGCTGGTCCTGGGATCTGCTGTGCAGAGCGCATCACGTCAGCATTCTCGCTTAAATCAACTATGACTTGAAGGTAGAGCTTGCTAGCTCCACGAAGGTTTGTATTCCTGCACCTAAAACTGCTGGTAATGGCTGGGTTTTGTTTTTCAAGGAGTCCAAACACACCAGGGGTTAAATAAGCTGCTTCTCTCTCCACTGTTTATTATTAATGTACAAAATATACAAAACCAAAAGAAAAAATACTCATCCTCAAATCCATTGTGGCTCTAACCCAAGACCTTGCACAAAACCCAACCAATCCACTGTTTTCATAGAAAACAACTGATACGAGACGGGTGAAAGAGAGGGCTGTGTAAGGGCCAGTGTGTTGTTGAGTGCACCCAGGACGGTGCCCGATGGGGACTCGGAGGTGGCCTCACTCCAAGGTTCCAGGTGGGGACAGGAAGTGTGTGAACTCCCAAGGCGGTGCATGTAGTGTGACTGTCGGGCCGGCGTGCCGGGCTTCAGTTCATGCACAGCTGGTCTCCCCGAAGTGTCTGCTTCCAGCATGAGCTGTGTGTGCAGGGTAGACCGCCACCAGCCGGCCGCGACGCAGATGCAGCCGCAGCGCTCACAGAAGTCTGACCTCGCCGAGAAGGGCTCAGGATGTGTCCCTCCGGTGTGCAGTGGGAGCCCTCTCAGTGGCGTGGGATATCCGATAGCCCCTTTGGTCATCTCCCCGCCCGAGGAATGGTGGTCTTGGCTGGGATGGTTTGGGAGGGCAGCTGATCCCACGTCAGAGCTCCGTGCACGGGGAGGACTGGCACAGGCCAGGTGCCCTCGGGCATCAGAGGTAACACTGGAAAGGAGCTGGGCTTCCAGGGCAAGTCTCCTCAGAAAGTGAAGCCAGCCGAGTCTCCGAGCCTCCTCTTCGCAGGCAGGGCAGAGCGGGTCTAGTCCTCCGCCTGGAGGAGCGTGTACATGGGGTGCACCAGTGATCAGAAACCCCAGGACTGAGCAGTGGGGACCGAGGAGGCCGGCTCCTCCTCAGCTGGGGAAGGGACAAACGGGCCTCACAGAAGCCATAACAGTGTGGGGGGGCAGACGGGGTCCTTAGGGCAGGGGGGGCCCGTTGACCCCCGGATGGTAGAAGGCACAGCTGTCCTCATAGCGGCAGTTGCCCTTCATCATAAAGTGTCGGCAAACGGGGCGGTTGGACATGTCTGAGAAAGAGGGTGGACGGTTAGGGAGATGCTAGGTCACCACCACCCTCACCCCCTCCACAGCCATGAAGCCAGAGAATGTCTTTCAGAGAGAGAGCCTGGGGGTGTGGGGGAAGGGCTAGGGTAGGAACAGCCACACATGCTGGGACAGGCGGCCTCAGGTTCAGCCCAGCACCCCCAGGTAGTGACACTCCCAGTCTGTGGGGGTCCAACAAAAGTCACATAGGGGCAGGGCTCATCCTCACCTCCTCCATGGCTGTGGCCTCCATCGTGCCCTCGGTGGCCCCCTCCTCCGTGGCCAGGGCCATTATGGCCACGGTGCTCATGAGGAGGTGGTCCTCGATGATCATGGCCTCGGTGACCAGGGACATCATGAGGCCGGTGGCCATGGGGTCCCCCATGTCCAGGACCTTCGTGGGGGCGATGTCCACCATTTCCACCCATGCCCCCACCAGGGCCTTCATGAGGACGGTGGCCACTGCCACTGCCCATGCCCCCACCAGGGCCTTCGTGGGGACGGTGTCCTCCACCCATGCCCCCACCAGGGCCCCCTCGTCCGTTTGGGGGTCCTCCTCCAGAGCGACCTCCTCTGGCTCCTCGAAATGGAGGAGGAGGGGGAGGAGGTTCATTTCCCCCTCGACCACCACGACCTCTATGGTATGGTCCAGGTCCAGGTCCAGGTCCAGGTCCAGGTCCCCCCCGCATCGGGCCACCCCGCATGGGGTCAGCAGGGCCATCCCAGAAGGGATCACCGCCCCGGGGAGGGGGTGGGGGACCCAGGAGACGTGGACCCACTGGCCCCCCAGGGCCTCCAGGGCCTCCATGGGGACCTGTTAGGAAAAAAAGGGAGACAATGTTACACTCAGGGACTGCTCCCTCTCACCCTAAGCCACCTCCCCCCCACCCTACGCCACCTCCCCGCTTCTTCTGGTCAATCCTACACTATTACCAGACCACAGGTTAGCAGATAAGCCCATTATTCCAACACCCCAGTCACCGCCTACCTGGCATAGGTCCCCCAGGGCCAGGGGGGAAGTGCTGCATTCCCTTGGGGCCCCCAGGGCCTCCTTGTGGGAAACCATTGGCTATTGGGCCGGGGCCTAAGAGTCCATGTGGCACTGTTAATGAAAAGAGTCAAATAGTCAGCAAGAGGCTTCTAGAAGAGTGACATCCTTCCCGCTTACGTGTACCCCAGGGATCCTTGAAGACCAGCTGGCAGGGTCTAATC